TGCAGAACATGCCCTGCGGGATAGTTTCTTACAAAGCAGCAACAAGTGGGTGTTTAAGCCTTGAAAGAAAAGCCTATGATATATTTAAAAATATTTTAGAGACTCATAAGAGACAGCCACATGATAAGAGATGTTTTAAGTGAGGAAGACTAAGTAAAAAATAGTAAGTCACTAAGACAGAATAAATTCTGATACAGAGCAGCACAGAGGTTGTGGGGAGAGAAGAAAGGAGGAGAGAGGGAGAGGGGAGGAGAGAGCAGGGAAAACGGACAAATTGGGGGAAACTCCAGAGATGTAACTTCAGCTTATTAGTTCCCTCTGAGGCACCTGGGAACCTGTTTCCCAGAAACCATGAAATAGGGCTGGCAATGACCTTGGGAGTTGAAAGAATGATCTGGTCACTAAGAAAAGCTCTAGAGTGACAGGAGACCTAAGCCTAAAGAGGTTTGGCAAATGGCAATAAAGAAACAAAATTTTAACAAAGCAGTAATTTCCAACAGTCAGAAGGTCTCTCACTTTTGAGTACACTCACAGCGATCCTTTACTGCACAGATCAACCTTAGGATTTTAAGGAAGCAGGGACCATCCTCTCAATTGGTCATTGCTCAAACAACAGTGGGCCACGTCAATAATTAATTCAAAAGTAACGCAACAAAGCTGTAGGTTCCAGACTCTTCCTTAGAATGAGCTGGGTCCATGGAACAAGTGATTAAAAAAAAAAAAGTGCTTGGCCCAGAGAGTTTTGGAAATACTGACGTGAAGTTCAAAGTTACTCCTGGCCCATGTGTGGGACATTTTCAAGGTTGTCATAGCGACAGTGATGGATCTCAAGGATGGGATGTAATGATACAGCTCCTGAATTTCTTGGACCACAAAGCCCTGCTGATCACAAGAGTCTGCAGGATACATCATGCGTGGCACGCATTGGAATTGTCCTTCTGGTCCAATGTGAATTGTGTAGTTTAGCCTCAGCAGTGCAGGACCATGAGGAAGCTAGCATGGGAGGTGGCCTGGAGGTCACCTTTAAACACACACACAAGCAGCTCAACAGAAACACAGCCGTGAAACCAGCCTTGGAGCCCAGATTTCCCAAGCCTCTGTCTGCACGCTTCCCACCCCTCCACATTCCTCCGTCTAAAAGCGCTGTTCTTCCTCCCACTTGGGTTTATCCCAAGTGTTACTCACCCCCAAAGTGTAAAACTATACAAGGAAACTCTCAGCCCCTCTAGCAAGGATAAGGACTTCATTCCCTGAATGAAAACAGAGTTTGCATTTACAAGAAGGACCTATATTTAAAGTCACTGGAGTCTTAATATGGTTGCAATTACAGTTCATCAAATTCACGGGCATCTCTGACAGCTCAGGGCACTGGAGGGGTGCTTCACAGGGAGGTGATGCAATGAAAAATTTTCTATGTGCATTATTCACATATTTATTTCCCAAATTTTGCATAAGAGTATCTTTGGCTGTATTTTCAGGGAGGAATGAACCAAATGTTTAAATTCTATCATCTCTTATGTGAAAATTTCTAAAAAGACTCAGATATTCAAAACTGGTATTATTTAAAAATAACATTTAGAACAATAAAATGTGCCCCCACATATACAGAGGCTTCCTTCAGGACAGCCTTGTCCACATGGGTCACGTCAACTGTGTGTTGACCGAGTCTCATAAGGTACATTTCCTCATTTCTTTTGGGAATCCCTTTATTTATATTAGAACAGGCTCTGAAATATGGTCACAGTGCGCTGCTTACAGCCTCAACATTTTACCATCAAGATTCATAAATTACATAGTATTTAGATTAAAAAATGCATATATCAGAATTACTCCAGCTTTTTATATACCCTCAAGAGATTAATACCAAATGCATCAGATCTAAGAGTAAAGAGGATGAATTGGTTACAGTAACTCATCAAGAGCTGGGAGGCTTAACGTAGATAATTCCTCCATCCTGGTGCTTTGAACCTCCGTTAATGGTTATTATAGATGAAAGAGAATGTGGCTCACCACACTCCCCCAAGATTTGCATATTAAATTGCAAAGCCAGCAGGTAGCAATCGGAAATAGGGCAAATGAGTTTGTCCTCAGCCTCCTCTCACTTTCAAGGGAGAATTTTTCAGTCCATTTTGCTTTCACATTTGAATCTGTCCTCTAAAGATTCCCCATCCTGGTGGCTCTGTCCCCACCCCCTCCAACCTGCTGCCTCCAGAGTGAAACTCCTTTTCCTAGTTTCTGGTGCCTCAAGCAGAGACTTTTTTATGATAAACTAAGTAAAAATATGTCACACCAACACACACACACATTTTCTTTCCTCTGTTGATACCTTGTTTTTAGCCAGACTAAAGAGTGTGTACTGTGTATGAGGAGCTAGTAACTAACAGTCACGGTGGGAAGGGGGAGTCTTATTGTACGCTGGAATAGGAAGACAATAGGAAACAGTGTGTAAGCATACCTGGAATGTTGAGTGCCAAGGAAAACAACGACCATAAAAGATTACAAAGGAATGTGCAGACGGACTCCACTTTCATCAGTGGGTCAAGGAATGACCTTGTTTCCAGAGAGGAACTTGAGTACCATTAAAGGAGTGACCTATGTGGGGTGGGGGCTGGCGGAACCCCAGTGCAGGAGGCAGGGGGAAGCAACTGGCAAGGGTATCAGTGTGAGATTGTGCTTGGCGTTGTCCGAAGAAATCAAAGATCCCTGGGTACCTGGAACAGAAAATGGGGCTGCACCCGCTGGGCGTCAATTCTGTGCTCCTGCTGGCCACAGCATAAGCTCGGCTGGAAATGAACAGAATCTCGATGCCATAGGGACAGTAGAGGGCCAAGGATGCACACAGGCCAGTTGTCTGGCACTCAGTGGGGCCGCAAAGGTCGTGGGAGGTGTTCAGAGTGGACACGCCTTGAGCACAGAGACAGCACCACGTGCTGATGGACTAAACTTGAGCAGTTCCTGGAGTCTTCACACCTCTTTCTCCGCATAGGTACTCACAGATCCGCTAGTAAACATCATCTGCTCCTTTAGGTTTCTACCCTCAGACAGGTGAGCACAGAGAATTCACGCTCTAAGACATTTCCATATGTAGTGGGACTCTACCCAAACACGGAAGGACTCAAGGGCATCAGTGCCAACACACGATGACCAACAGCACGAGGGGCTGCTAGCTATTGTAAAAAGAAGCCTGGCTGAGGTCTTCAAGAGACTAGCTGAAGTGTAATTGCAATTGCTGGCTACCTAAGCTCTGTGTTCATCCAACAGATATGTCAAATACCCCCTTTGGGCATCTACAGTTGCTTTGAAGGTAAGACATTGAAAGCAAAATAAAGCAAGCCGTTCCCACAGCACTGCTTCTATCTTGTTATTAGGTAAGGTTGGCTACACATGGGATAACTGGCGCATAATACATCTGGCCTCAAATAATTGGACACCAGGAGCCTAGAGCAGGGCAGAAACGGAGGGCAGGGCCAGGACGTCTGCCGCGGTTCACCGACTGCATGGATCACTGCTCCTAAGGAATAGATTTTCAATTCAACGACTGCTTCCTGAGCGCAGAAAGAAAAAAAAAAATCTCATTTGAATAGCAGAACTACCTGGCATATGGAAGATAAATGGAAGAGAAAAGATGGACTCATCGAGAAGTCTAATGGGTGCTCCCGCAGGGAGGAGAAGGCTGTCACGGGCTTGGAAGGACCGGCTTCAGGGACCCGGGAAGAGAACCACAGGACAATGCTGGCCTGGCTTCACTTGTCTCAAAGCCTTGCTCTGGGTTCTTCTTTCCCTTTGTACGCACAAAAGGGCCCACAATGCAGAACACACTCGTTGCTTCTTCAGTCTGAGAAGTAAACTAACCCCCCTACAGTTTTTGCAGAAACAAAGGCGTCAATAAGCCCTTTGTAAGTTCCTGCTTCTAGAAAACTTGAGGAAAGGAAAGCCCCATTCACTCTCCTGTCTGGCCAACTTTCTGTGCTAACAGGTCACTGGCTTGACATAAAATCTGAAATGGAACTAAGGCTATTGAATTCCCACCCAATCAGAGTTTAAGGATCATTAGAGAGAAGACCAAAATCTAAAATATTGTATCATAAAAATAAACACAGGTCCTCCGTATACAACAGAGGAGTGTCTGGAAATAGTGCGGTTGTTGGGAAGTGATCACAGTGCACTTTGACACATCTCCGTGCAAAGAGGAAACACACAGAACAAGGATCATGAAAAACATTGCTCTGCAGAATACAAGATTTACCTAATCTGTGAGGGCAAATAGCAAGTAAACCTTATATTTACCTGAATGTTCTCCTCCTAAATGACGTGTTTTAACCCATAATTACTACTATGGTGGCAAGGTCTCACTACCACTAAAAGAAATTTCAAAGCTGAGTTTAAATTTGCTCATCAAATTGAGAGAAATTAACTAAAGGGTGGGGCTTTCTCCTTGTCCACCAATCATGTGTCGTCAGTTCCCGCCCCTGGTTTCTTTATCATTTCCCAAGTCTTGCATGAATGTCTGTCCTCCATCAGACAGCATGTTAGACACGGTGAGACCCAGTCCTGACCCTCAAATGACTTCCCTGCTGATGGCGTAGTCTCCTATTCAAACAGAAAATTCACTTAGCAGCATACAACAGTGTTTATTTTTACTTTTTTCAGCACGAGAATTGAACCCAGAGCCTCCCACATGCTAGGCAAATGTTCTACCTTGGCCAACCATTTTTCAAAATTTTATTTTGAGACAGTCTTGTTAAGTTGCCCAACCTGAACGCAAATTGGTGATCCTTCTGCCTCAGCATACTGTATCAGAGAAGGAAAAGAACAAAACAAAGAATAGAAAACCACAAGAACAGTTCCCCACTTGTGAGTTATTCTGAACAATTAATGAGTAGATGTTACTTTTGCTAATCCACAGGAAAGGCATTATTGTGGTCTTCGTTAAAGAATTTGGACCACGGAATCCATTTACTGCCTCAGATTTCGCCAAAGCTACAGCAGTGCAGACTTACCTTATGATAACACCTAAAATATGCAGCACGCTCATCAGAAAACTTCTCCAATCTTTTTGGACCTTTGCTTGAAGCTTTCTTGAATACTAACCAGCATCGTTGATAAATCTGGAAAGAAATACAAAGACTAAGTTGAGTGTCTCCACTGATCCAACTGTTACCAACACTTGCATTTCAACATTTTCTGAAATCTTCGCCTGTAAAATATTCACCGTCCAATCCAGGAATCTGATGCTGTTTTGGGAAAATGAAATTTTTTTAAAAAAATGGTTTCCCCAGTGCACAGCGTATACAATGCACACAATTACCAGAATCAAAAGAAAATAAGTATCTGAGGCAGATTTTTCTCCCATATTTGAGTAACAATGGTCACAATACATATTTGAGAAAAAGTACCAGAGATTTTTCTTAAATCTCAAATGAGTACAGATGATATAGGCATTCATAACACATGATCTAATTTCAAATGCAATTAAATCTGAAAATCTCGGATCTGATAATATTGCTGAAAACACATTGCCATGCTAAAGAGCACATGTCTTAGAATGAGACACCTTGTGGCATTTCCTCACACTGACGGTGGAGAGTTGGACAAACACTAGAATAGTGAATCACTTATCGATCCACATCAATTGGATTCTTGCTTAGAAAATCCCAACTGGAGACTCTAAGGTGACGTGTTGAAGACAGACAGATGCTGGGGGTTATAAATTAAATGGAACCTGGTGGCCCTGTAGACTCCCCCACGTGACAGGTAAACAGTAGGAATGCAGTAAAGAATTAGATCACTTCTCCTCTAAGTAAAAGAGCTATTTTAATTATTTGTAATATTTTGGCTCATATATTTGAGATCCAGCCCTTTTTCAAGTTTCTTGGAAATCATCTATATCCCCAGGAGGCTTCTACTCCCAGAAACACTACAACTTTTAACTGAGCTAGCCTGAATTGGGATCTGATGGTAGTAGCCAAAACCACCTTATGGGACCAGCTAATGAAAACTAAAAAGTCTATGAAAATATTAATAACACCAAAGAGATAAACTGTAAAGGTAATCTGTAAAAGTAACTGTAAGGTAAACTGTAAAGGTCTAATGATCACTTAAAAAATGAAGTTCTCCAAAAACCATATAAAATGAGATTTAAGTCTAAAAGTTAACAAGAAATTAAATTACTGATAACATTCACTGATGACAAAGCTTGGAGTGGCATTTTTACACCACTGATGATCTTTAGAGGCCATTTGACACAGCTGATCTCAAAAGAATGGGAAATTTTCCTAAATCAAGGCCCAAAGTAGAGATAACAGAGGAGAAATTTCATATTAATGACAGATAAATGAGCACTGCTCATCATGATTATATTTGATTCTTAAATTACCTTCAAATTATACCTATATGTGATTTTACATAGTCAATCTATAAAATACACTTTGTGTACTATAAAGTGTAAGTTTCTCTAAGAAGAAACAAAATAAAGCCTAATAATAAGATATTTGGTCATTCAAAGCATAGTTGATTTAAAATATATTTTGCAGTTCTATTAATACCTAACAGATGGATGAAGAACTCAGGTTGGCCACTACTCTTCTCAGTTTTGATATATTCTATTTTACTCTTTTTTTATATTTCACTCTTCTGTTCTGGTAAATTATCAGATGTCTTGTTTGGAATCGTCAAAAGAACATAAACTAATTTTCGCTGCAATTTATTTCTGAATAAAGAGGGTTACATATGCATCAGATGCCAATGAACATATACTGAAATATTAGCAGTATTACCTATAAGAATGAGAATTAGAAACTACTCAATCTTAACTTCATCCAGTTAAGAGCGGCCCAGTAAATTAGTAAAGCAAGATCTTGGGTGTAGGGCAACATGTCTCAGCAACAGAAAAGCTGACTAATACAGAATGACAAAGTATACTTTAACACTTCTATAATATATATGTATGTTATTCATCTATAAAATAACATTGGTAGTTATGTATAGCAGATGTGGTAATCACAAATATAAAAATATACATTATACACCCATAGGATAACAGTCATTATATTAAAATTACAGTGACATAGAGAGTACCCAAAATATTAATATAATAAATTATACCATGCTATTTAGCAACGAGATAACATAAGTAGCTCATGTGTAATGAGTTTCAAAAAGAGTTTCTAATGACATCGCAAAGTGTTCATAGTATAGAGGAAAAAGAAGAAAGCTTTACTTGCATCGTGGTTACCATTACATTGAAAGCACATGAAAACAGATAAAGAAAACATACCAAAATGCTAAATGTCTTCCCTGGATTATGAGAGTAGATTTGGGGTTTTGTTTGCGAATTTTTGTTCTGCTTACCAAAAGTTAACACTGTAATTAAATCAAAGAAAACTGTTATTTCTTAAATACCCAAAGGTATTGGTATAATTAAAGTTAGTTGCATGGGTTTTTATCTTTCTTAATTATTGAATCCGTCCAGGGACATCAAACATGGAAAGACGGGGGAAGGAACTCAATGGAGGAAGACCAATCTCCTCAGCAGACGCTCTACATCAACCGGAGATCCACGAGCAAAAAAGAAAAATAATGCACTTTGATTAAATGGCTCACGTTATACAAAAATTAAAACTGCCTTGAATATAAAAGAGAACTATAATAATTTTGGGAAAAAAGTGTTTAGTATTATGGACAACGAGCACTGAGACCTTATGTTAAAGGCAGAATCCATAGAAGGAGGATGACAAACTAGATCTCACCAAAACCAAATACTTTTGCTACATGAAGACCTTGCTAAGAGAGTAAAAAGACAAGCTACCAAGTGGGAGAAAATAATTGTGAATTCCATGTCCGAGCAAGGACTAGTATATGAAATACAAGACTCTCAAATATCAAGTTAAAAAATTCAATTTATAACAGCAAAATCCAAAAGACACAAGATATCTCACCGAAGAGAATATTCAGATAGTCACAAATCACACTAAAAGGGATCCAACAGCATCACTGATATGGAAATGTAAATTAAAACTACAATGAGATGTCACAATACACCGGATTGGCTGAAATAAAAACATAACAATAAAATATACCAACACCAAATGCTAGCAAGTTTGTGAAAGAAATGAATCATCATACACGGCTGATGGGAGTGTAGACTGTCACAGCAGTTTGAAAGCTCAGTGGCACTGTCTTAAAAATAAACTATGCAACCAGGATGGATACAACCAGCCGTCGAACACTTAGAAATTTATGACACAGAAATGCAAACTTCTACACACACACACACACACACACACACACACACACACACACACACACAGATCTGCATATGAATGTTCATAGTGGGTTCATTCAGGACAGCCAATACTAGACACTGTGCATAGGACCTTCAGGAAGGGAATGCATTGCTAGACAAACTGTATTACACCCTCTCGTGGAATACTACACAGCATTAAAAATGAGCTGTCAAGATATGCAGTAACTTTAACAAATCTCCAGAGAATTATGTTGAGTGAAAAGAAACATTGAACCCAATAGATTTTACTGGTACGGGGAACTCATCCCAGTGCCTTGAGCATGTTGGGAAAGTCACTACCACGCCCTTCTTACCACTCTTGAGAAAAAGTGATAAAAAACGAGGAAACAGATCAGTAGCTATTGGAGTTCAGGGATGTGAGGGCAGGAAGTGGGGGTGCTCACAGAGCATCAGCACGAAGGCTCTCCGCCGTGATAAACTGCACCTTAGCAATGGGAATATGCTGTATATGGCAGCACACTGTATTTTGGGAAGATTTAATGTCTTCCAGTGAAAGACTTAATGTCTTAACTAGCGAAACTGGAAAAGCACACAGGAAGATCTCTGCAGAGTATTTGCCACCACGGAAACAAAATCTACATGTATCTCAAAATGCATTTTTTTTTTCAAAATGAAAAGATACAAAAAGTTAAACAGCTTCTTAAAATTTGCAATCTCAGCCTGATCTAGTAACACTATTCTCCAGTGTCCATCTCTCTGCCCCATCCCTCCTCTCCCCTCCCCGCTCCGACCAATCACAGTCTAATCAACCGAGAGACTAACTACTTTAAGGAGCTAAGATTCAAGCATCACCAGTAGGAGTGGGAGCACCGAATCCTCTTCAGGGTGGAGTTCAGAGTCCTCGGTGCTGGGGTTGGCAGAGGCTCTGACCACATCCTGCTTGTGCCTGAGGAGCCCAGAGGACAACTGACTCCCTGAATATTGAGCCACCACCCAAGGACGTAATTACAGTGGGGGTAACGGTCCCTCCACTTGGACTAATCAAAGATGCAGGCAATGGGCTTCTTGACTATCACTCTAATTGGAAGCTCATGCTTTTATACGTGGCCACAAGAAAACGCCCAGAAGCCGAACATTCTAAAGGCAGGCAAAAAAAAAAAAAAAAAAAGAAAAAAAGAAAAAAGAAAAAAATGTGCACATTCCAAAAAAGACACTTTCCCTAAGAAAGATATTTGCACTATCCTAAATGATGCCTCCATTTTCAGATCCAATTTTTAATGAGTGCATTTCTAACTTTTTAAAAACTTTGTCCGTTCTTTTCTCGGTTGAGCCAGGATTTGCCTGGCTTCTTTCCAAAGGCTGTTGAATTGCTGGATGCCTCAACTTGAGCACATGGAAGGATTCCCATCTCTGACCCATTCGTACTAAAGTTAGGAAACTTTTGTTTCCCCCCTTTTTATTTTTCTTTTGTTTTGGCAAGCAGTAAGGATAAATGCATAATGCTAGAGTTAAAATAACAGCAAAACTATTATAAAGTCACCTGCAACCTTGCTGGAGAGGCATCGTGGGCTGAGAGGCGAAAATGCAAACTCGATTTGTGAGAAGGCACTTGGGAAGGCAAGTCAAGACACACACACGGTGCGGGAGCAGGCAGCCCAGAAGGCGAATGCGGTCTGCTGGATCAAGGTCTTTCCTTTATTCTGTCATTTGTGGGACATCGGAGACTCTCATGCGGCCCAACCTCACTCCAGATAATTGCCAGCTACCCAGATTCCTAGCGATTAGCCACGGTCTACTGAATCAGAGCCTTGTGGGGCAAAATCAGACAAATATTCCCCCGACCACATCCCCCAGGTATTTATT